ACACACACACACACACACACACACACAGGATGTCCATACCCATCTATAGGCATCTGTTACTGTTACTGCTTGTCCACACAATGGAGTATCACACAACCATTAAAACAAGGGTAAGATGACTGCTTATTCTGACTTGTCGAAAATGTACCTAATATTAGAACAATATCAAGGACAATATATTCCCATTTATAAATAACTATTACAAGTTTATATTATGTATACTAAAGGAGAAAAACATGGAAGAGTATACAACTCTTAGTGGTTTCCTTTAGGGGGAGCATTAGGGTGGGAAAATGCTAAGATTAAGCCCCTTCTCTGTATCAGTTGAGAGGATTATTAATGCCAAAAAAATCTGCTCTGTTCATGGCAGAGAGATAAATAAGGGCACAACCTCCAAACTGTATCCTCAGCTATTTTCTACTTCCTCCATGTAAAACCCTTTGATTTAGCTCTTTTAGTCTTTTAGTCTCCCACCAGGAATTCTCCCTGAAACTTCACCTGCAACCCATCACTACCACAGAGCCTGGAGCCCATAGTACTCAGACTATGTGTGAAAGTGACTAGTATTTCTGTCTCCCTTCCATAATTCTTACAGCACAGATTTATCTACCAACTCTACATTCGCATATACAGTTCCCAGGAGAGTGGGTATTCAATCAAGGCACCTTGGACAAATAAGCATTCAAATCTTATCTCCATAAAACTAACTAACCGGGGCTCTCCAACTCCACCTATGAACCACCTGGGAGGCTGAATAGAAATGCAGATTGAACTCCCATCTCTAATTCTGAATAAGAATAGGATGGGAGAGTGACTTGAAGGAACTGCACTGCGGAATCTACTTCTAACCGGTGCCTAGGTCGTTCTGGTGGGTGGTCAATTTGGCAAATACCGAATGGCACTCAGTCAGATGATAAGAAAGGCAGAAATCATGGATGACTATTCACAAATCAAGAATAACATCTCTGCCCCAAAGTAGTGAGGAGGTATAGAGAAACAAAGCAGATTTATCAACCCAACTCAACATTTTTGTCCCTCACTTGCCATATCTTTGCCCCTTGCTTCCAATGGCTTTTAGACATGGGTGACTGAACCCTAATTTCACCCTCAATGCTTTCACCTAAATTGTAAGCACAAAATTGTTGATTCAGAAGGGATCTATTTGGAATCCTGACTTTGTTCAAGCACTATCTATCGGATCTTGAATAGGTTACAGGTCATCTTCTGTCGGCACTTTAATTTCCACAGGTTAAAAAGTTGATCTGAGCATGTGTCTGCCTCAGTATTTGTGGTTAGGATTAAATAAGGATTAAATGAGATAAAATATGTAAAAGATCAGCACAAGGTCTCCTAGGAACCCCGCAGTAATGGTTACTTCCCCTTCTTTCCTTTCTTCACACCACCCATTGCCAGATTTTTCTCTTAGAAATACTACAAGTTCCTTACCTTGATCGGGGAAAAGTCGGAGGACATTCCCACGGACACCCAGTTCCTTTACGTAGCATAAGTCTTGGGGGGCCCCAAGGATGGCTGCTTTCTCTTGATCCTGAAACATTTTCTTCAAGAAATAAGGCACAGGCTGTAACTTCTGGGGAGAGGGCACCTTACCTAAATCCAGAAACTGAAGGAGATATTCCTGCAATTGGAACGTCTGGCCCAAGGCCAGCGTTAAGAGGAGACGGAGAACGAAGCCTGGCGGGGAAGGAAGCATGGCCTCTGTGCTGAGACAAAGCTGGCTAATCCCGCTGAAGGGAGCGCTAGCTCCTAACTGCCCAGCAATTCAGGTGCTGTTCATTTATCTGATGTAAGATAATCAAGTGTGAATTGCTCTCTTCCCAGCGCCTCAAAGGCAATTGGATGTGAAAAGATGTCGAATTTTTTTCTCTTCCTTTTCTCTACTCTTTGAGAAAAAGGTTCACAAAGTAAGGACGATCCACTGGTGGAGCTCTCAAAAAGTCTGAGCCATGTCAGCAGTCGAGTGGTTTTATTCATTCAACAAACATGTGCTAAACATCTATGATGTGCAAAGACCTGAGATAGGCATTAGGAACATAAAAATGAATAATTAGAAGGTAAATTTCTCTCTCTCTCTCTCTCTTTTTTTTTTTTTTAGAATCCATCCACAGCTATGTTGGATACCAAACCAGGAAAAACTTTTCCAAAGAAGTTATTTTGTTCATCCCACTTTGTCTTTCCTGTTTGAAGTCAACAGTGGACAGATCGGGTTAATTCTGATTCCACTATTCATTAGCTATGTGTCACTTAACCTCAAGCTTTTTTTCTCAACTGAAAATAAGAACTGATCTTTTCATTGGCCATGGAAATTGACAAGATGTTGTGCTGAAAATGCTCAGCCCATAGCCGACAAATGGTTGACACAGGAGTTGACTTCCAAGTCTGAGTGAATGTTTTTCAATTAAGAACCTCAGGCATTTAAGACTGAAGGAATTATATGAAAAAGGGTGTCCAGGTTATTAAAATGCTTAAGTATGGCAACAGATATCAATTTCTGGTTTTGTTTTGTTTTGTTTTTTGACTAAACTACTAGAAGGTTGTCAAGTGCTATCCAAGAGCTAGCTTGTCTGTTGCCAAAGTTATTTCCACGTTTTTTGAACACGGGACTTTATATTCTTACCATCAATTACAAGAACTTGTTTCCCCTAAAAGAAGAGAAAATGTTGCATTTAACATATTTAACAGTGCCCCATCAGCAGCAGAACACAATCTAAGTCCTCTAACTTGGCATTTAAGGACGTTCTCGGTATGGCACCAATACTCCTGGTTAGCCTACCACGTTTCCTCTCATGTGTGACATATGGAGAAAGCAAACAACAACAAGCTTTTCGGTGGTGGAAGACCAACTAGTGATTACCAGAAGGGGAAGGAGGCAGGGGAGAGGGTAAATCAGGACAGAGGGGACAATAGTGTAGAAAAGGATAGAACTAAACTTAGCAGTGAACTTGGTCTAGCTCAGTGAATCACACCTGCAGCTTATGTAATGTTATGCTACAAAGGTACTTCAATAAAATTAAAAGAATTATAAATGTACTCATTTTATTATAAATTACTAGTTGATTCATAGAAAAAAACTTGAAAATAGAGTATGATAGTGCATATATTATAACAACTCCATAAGTCACATTTCACTCAGCCATATGCAGTGAAAGAATATGTAATGTCATGAAAAAACTACATATGAATATCATTAGGCAAAAGAAAAGCATATTTTAAAATATTATATAAAAATAATCCAATTTTATAAAAAACAGATACAAAAAGATCTGGAAAATTGGAAATCAAGATGTTTAAAATTGATATTTGTTAGTATTTTTGGTGAAGTTATTTCTCAAATTGTTATAATACTTATATTTTGTAATCAGAAGAAATTACAGAAACAAACAAATTTACACAGTTGTCACCAATGTATGGAGTGATGTGGGTGCTTTTGCTGGTCTGTGAACAGATATTTATTGCTTAGCAAACTGTTTTAACTACTCAGACTTAGCAATAAAAATTCATGGGAAAATGTACATTAACAACTAAGGAGAATGTCAAATGTACAATGCAACTCCCCCAACATTGACATTCACGTCACCCTCCTACTGAAAACAAAACAAAGTTATAAATATAGATATACTCATACACACACACACACACACACACACACACACACACACACATGGCCTCCCTTGTGGCACAGGGGTTAAAGTCTCAGCACTATCAAGCTATTGGCAGCCACTGAGACTTAAGTTTTATTCTCAGTCAGGCTGCTGATCCATATGGCACAGCAGACCTCTCCTGTCTTGTCCACTGCTCCCCTCACCAGAGTATTTCAGTCAATCTACCTGTTCTACTCTGTCTCTAGTGGATTCTCTTATCCCCCATACCTCCTCTGCCTTACACCCCAGTTCTTGCATGCATAAATAACTAAATCTTAAACACACACACACACATATTTTTTTTTTCCTACAGTAAAAAGACCTGGAACATTTTGTTTTGTGTTTTATATTGTTCTGTTGTTTTCTGACCCTTCCTATTCAACTGATTTTAAATTTGTGGACACATCCCCAGTCATCTGTAAACATGGTAACAGGCCATGTCATTAGTGTGGGCAGAGAAGGAAAGTTGAGAAGCATTTTCTGGAGTTAAAGGAAATTTCCTGAGATTTTTCATATTAACTATAAGCCACACTCTAATGACTATTCACACCTTATATACTAGTTTGCTGAGAGGAAAGAAATGAGCACAGCCTTAATAGGTAGACTGGGAATTTGCTTAGAAAACTTGCAAAGTCAACACACTCAAAACTTTTAGAAAAGTGCTTAACACTTAAAAAAATTGAGGTAGGCAAAAAGGGGAAAATGGATTTTTTTTTAAAGATTTGTTTATTTGTGCATGCAGACCTGGGGTATAGGCCAGAGGCTGCGAGAGGCTTCACCAGAGTGGGGAGCAAAACAGGCAGATCAAGGAAGTACACTGCTGAGGGGAGCAGTGGGCGGGTCAGGAGAGGTCTGGCCATGCCATGAGGTCACCTGTGGGGCAGGCAGGAATCGAACTCATGTGGAAATGGCTTTAGCTTCTTAGTGCTGTGCTTTAACCCGATGCGCCACCAGGGAGGGCCAGATTTTTTTTTTTTACTTAAAAGTATAAATTGATTATATTGCATTTGTGTTACCCTCCTAATATATATATATAATAGTTTATTTTTACATCATTTTGTACATTTTTTCATTTAAGTTGTAATCCCCGTGGGCTTCCGATCACCAAATCACCCTGTGCCATCACCATAGTCCAGTGGGGAAAAATGGATTTTTAATAAAACCTCTTTAGATGTATTTTATTATCAATATTTCTATGTAATGGCTGAGTGAATGAAAAGGATTATATTCCGAATGAGTGAATAAGATGTTGGGGAAACTAAGCAAGCAAGCCTGAACAAATATCCAGGAACTACACGGTTAGTATTTGCAGTATTTCCTACATCCTAGGAGACTTTGTCATGTAACAGCTTGAGCATTTGATCTTATTGCCAAAAACTAAACCAAAAGAATAATGGACATAATTTACATAGTAGTATTACATAGAAGTGAACTTAATTGGTATTTATAAAGCTGTACAACCTAAATAAAATGTTTAAAACAGTGTTTCCTAACATTTTTTAATTTCTTAGGATCACATTAGTAACACTGTAATAATCTTTTCTAAATGTATTTATTTTTATTGATTCATGCATACAAGAACTGAGGTGCAGGCCAGAGGTATGGGAGGTGAGAGGCATCACCGGAGCAGAACAGGCAGATCCACTGACATACACTGCCGAGGGGAGAAGTGGGGGTGACAGGAGAGGTCTGCTGCACCATGTGGATCAGCTCCCTGGCTGGAGATCAAACTCATGCTGCTGTGGCTGAAGATAGTTTCATAGCACTGAGATTTAAGCCATTGCACCACCAGGGAAGCACCCCCTCAATGTTAACATTTTTAAACCACCTAAAAGAGAGCAATAGCGGTTCTTGACTATACCAGACAGACCTGATTCCCACAAATACACATTTGGCCATGGTCCAAATGGTAAGTAATTAAATGATTTGGTCCTAGATATCAATAAACCAATTTAAATTCCTCTGTTGCTTTTATGAGTGTTAGCTAAGTCAGGTGCTACCCATCAGCGCCTCTAAATCACCTTATCTATTTTCCTGTCTGGAAAGAGTTAATATTACTATGGGATATCACACCACCATGTAACCCAAAGTCAAAGAGTTGTGGGACTCTATTGGAATTTACCAAAAGTTATCATTTCAAGAGTGTGTGTTGTCAATTATTAAAGACAACTTTTTGTGTTTTATCAGTCACCACCACTTGTTATCACTGACAAAAACTCTCTGAGGTATTATGCTAGACTTTGGGTCGCCACACTATTCAACTTCTTCCAGATAGTTCCGCAGAGTCATCTCTATCCTTAGGATTATTTTCTCCATTTATTGTCATTCCTTTTAACTCAAAGTATTTATTTTTCCCAGGACCAGCAGCTAAAAAATCAGATAGTAGCTATTTAGTTTTTTTCCTTTATCAGTTTTCACATTGGCAAACAATGCTGGAATAAACTACCATTTTATGTTTGACCTAAAAATGAATGTTTAAAAGGGCCCTCCCTGGTGGCACCATGGATTAAGGCGCAGCACTGAAGCTAGTAGAAGCCACTTCAGTGCAAGTAAGATCCGGGGTCTTAGAGGTGACCCACATGGCATGGGATGACCCACATGGCGCGGCAGACCTCTTCTGTCCTGCCCGCTGCTCCCCTCAGCAGTATACTTTGTTGATCTGCCTGTTCTGTTCCCTACTCTGTCTTTGGTGAATCTTCTCGCAGCCCTGCACCTCAGGTCTGTACCCCAGTTCTGTACGAATATAAATATTTAAAAAATTAAAGAATTGAGGTGGAATTTAAAATGAAGCCTTTTTAACCTTCTCAAAAAGCAGCTCCCTGTTTGTCGTGAGGAGTGGCATCCTCACCTTGCAGAAGGGAGGGTTACTTAGAGGACCAGTACAAGCAGCTGAACAACCTCCCACCCCCCAGCATCGTGTGACCACACCCAGGACCAGGGAACCACCCAGGAGGTCGTGGAGGACATTGTCAAGGAGACAGGCAGGTTCAAAGGCCAGCTTAAAACTACCAGACCATAGGGCCATTAGCATAATGGGTTTGTCAGTTGAGCTGGCCAAGATCCAAACTTAGATGGGAGATCAGGAATGTGAATATTTGTTATAAATAGTAAAAAATCAAAAACAACAACAAGGGAAATTGTTAGCTTTATTTCTATAAACTGGTATGTTCAGAAGATATTTGCCTTCTCCAAAGGCAAAGGATAAAAAACAATGCTGAATGTCTAAATTGTTTTATCTAAAAGACTAATCCTTACTTAACCTCTATGCCTAGAGCAAAAAAAAAGCAAGATAGTTTTCCTTCCCTCCTAGGGTATAATTCGCAGTTGATAAGAATTGGTAAGGTCAGTTTGTTGCTGTGGCTAACAGTGTTTTGTAAGTCTTGCATTCTTAGATAACCAATTCTTGAAAGTATTTAGAAGGTCATTAAAAAGATGTTGTTCCTGGCATTTACTCTTTGGACTAACCTGTTTGACTTCTGTTGAGACTGAGAAACTTCAAGTTTATTTCTGCTATTTCAAAACTAGTGGCAGAGTTTACAAGTTGTAAAGAAGAGGGGAAAAGAACAAAAGAAACCAAAAGCTCTTACAAGCAAATATATACATTTTTTTCTGAATATTTGTGACTTATGTGAGCATGAAATGTACATAATCACACATCAGTCTTGCTCCAGGCAATGTACTAGGTTGGTGTTTTTTTTCCAGGTTTGTTGTGATTCCTTTTCATAAATAAAATCAAATTTTGTGTGTCTCTAGCAGTTTAAAAAAAAAAAAGAACAGTGTGGAAAATGTCAGAATGCATGTACAAAATACAAATCTTTCGTGAAATTTTTCCTGTTTTTTTTAAAGATTTATTTATGCATACAGAACTGGGTACATACCAGAGGTGCAGAGGTGGTGAGAGGATTCACCAGAGACAGAGTGAGGAACAGAACAGGCAGATGTACTGAAATACACTGCTGAATGGAGCAGCAGACAAACAGGCTTTTAATCTCATACTCCATATTATATAAAACTCTTTTATATATATCATAAAAAGTGTGATGTCATTTTTAGATTTTTAATCTTATCTTTTTGAGCTTATTAAGAGGTGTGCTTCTCATGGCTTTTGCAGCAACTTGGATGGAGCTGGAAAATATCATGCTTAGTGAGATAAGCCAGAAAGAGAAAGGAAAATACCGGATGGTTTCACTCATAGCAGGAGTATAATGGACCAGGCGAGAAAATAACAAAAATAATGAACAACCATATACCAGAGACATTCT